ATGATGTATTTTCCTTATATATGTGAAACCTACTCTCGTTGAGAATCAATATAGTTGTACTTAAGTCATACCTACTCTCGTGATTTTGGAATTAACTACAAGTTCATTTCTTCTATGAAATTACATAGAACAAGCCACTAAATTCACAAAGGTGCACCTCTACTCTCGTGAGTGTATTTCCTAGGTTTAGCACTTCTTTGAATTAGTGTCAAATTTCAATTTTCATTGCAAATTTAATACCTTAAGATTATCATAATTAATGGCAAGTTAATCATAATTAGATAAGCAAAAGTGCTACATAACTTGTTTAAAATAATATTATCAAATAACCAATTAAAATCACTAACAGGATATAGAAAGTTCATCCATAACTTTAGGTATAAACCTTAGCTAAACATGAAAAACATGAAATCAAGATCCAAACTTGTAGTATAACCAAATGTTAGAATCAATACAAGAAACAAAGTGATAAGAGAGAAGACACATTTGTCAATGAGCTCCAAGCATCTCTATCTTCATCCTCTATCTCATGCAAGTTTAGCTAATACAAGAATGGATGGAAACTATATTACGCTATACTAAACTAATAAACTAAGAAAAATTAGTGAAAATTACATTTTTTGTAGTGTCTTTAGCCTTCCACACTTCAAAAACAAGCTCAACAAAGGCCCATATTTATAGAGGAATTAAAGCTCCAAGTGAGTTGTTTCTAGTTGGAAATTTTGCCTCTTGAAATCGTCAAAAGTGTTTCTCTAAGTTTCCACACTTTTTTTTTACAGCTACAACCGAAATTCTGAGCTGAAAAACAGTTAGAAAAGCTATGTGAATGTAGAACAAATTGAAGTGTAAGTTGCAGCTTCATTTGAAGAATATGCAGTCACGAAAACGCGGACATGAGGTCACGTTTTAGCCCCCATTTGCCTCTTTGCAGGTTCTCTCAATTTTGGTTAGTCTTCAATTTTGCTTTGTCTTTACAACTGATATTTTCTCAATGATGAATGTTGAACTAGCTCTTTTGAAAAACATTAAAGTTGTAGCTCTTTGAATTAATTTTCCAATGCTTCAACAATCATCAAATTTGGAGCTCTCTATACTGGGAAATTATCAAAATACCCTTGATTGATCAAAAATTTGTTTCACCTTTTGACAACAAAAATGGCCGACTGTATTTTGACATTTTGACTATGAAAACTCACGAACTGGATTTCGATGTCTTATAGTGTTAACTTCAAAATGGCTCAAGAATCACCTCAATTCGATACTTTTAACTCAAGATATAGCTAAAATATCAAAAGGTGTCAAAGTTGTCAAACTCCCTTTCTTTTACACTTGATTGCATTTCATCTTTGCACTTCATATTCTTTTTAAATCACTTCAAATCATCAACAATAATCCAAATGTCTTCTCAAATTACTCCATTTGTTGATTGAGTCATTAAACCTATAAAAATATGAAGTTTTCACCACTTTAATCCATAGAAATGTAATTTTTGACACTTAAACCACAAAATGTCAACTTCACTTGAACCCTAGTAAATTAGCTCTAAAAATAATTAAAACACATCAAAACTAAATAATAAAACACACTTAATTACTCAAAATACATGCTTATCAATAGTACCATAAATGATTTTGCAAGGATGTCAAAAATATATTTTAACAAATCTCCACCTTGGCTTTGCATCTGTCATACAAAAAAATCGAAAAAAGTGAAGTTGCTCCACCTTTTCTCTAGAAAACTCCAACGAGTTAATATCACAAAAAATATCATTAGATTCCAACAAGCAAATTATAAAAGCCTCAACGAATGCCAATGAATCAAATTACGAAAGCATCAATAGATTCCAATGAGTCAAAACACAAAAGTTACAACGGATTTCAATGAACTAGAATCACAAAAACCTTAACATTTCCCAATAGGCCAAATCACAAAAGCCTTAATCGATCTCAACAGGCCAAAAATAACAAAAGTTCCGATAGATCTCAACGAGTCAAAAATCGCAAAAGACTCAGTAGGTCCCAATGGACAAAAAATCACAAAAGTCATAGCAGCATATGGTGAAATCAAAATCACACAAAGCTGATGTCGAAATAGCAACAGCATTTGTAATAGTAGATCCCTGCAAAATATATAAAGTACCAGACCTATGCGTCTTCATAACAATAAGAGCACCTCGAGTGATATTTACAACTCCACCTTCAGCTATATACCTGCACCCAATATACTCAAAAGTACCTAAAGAGATAAGATTTGGAAGCGTCCTCATGTTACCATCATGTATTTTGATTCAAACTGTACCTTTACCAACAACTTTACAAAAGGTGTTGTTGGCCATTTAGACAACTCCACATTCAGTTGATTCATATGTTGAAAATCAATTGCTAATAGACACATATGATACGAACAAACTGAATCTAAAATCCACTCATTGTTAGACCTTAAATTATTTTCTACTGCTAAGAAAATGGTTCCATTATTCTTATAAGCTACAACACTAGCCTCAGCAATTTCATTGCATTTCAAATCACTTTCTCTTTATGCCTTTCTTTATTCTTTAATTTAGTGCATTCAGAGATAATATGGCCCGTCTTGCGATAGTATCTGCATACCAAATTTTATGTGTGGATCTACCCCGAACCAATAAGGCATCTGTTTGACTCCCTCTAGTTTCGCCAATAATATCCCTACCAATATGTTCTTTGGATTTAAGGATAGAATTTAATTCTTTGTAAGAATTTGTATCTTTACCATAAAACATTATGTGTCTAAAATGCTTAAATGACTGGAATAGGGAACATAACAATAATAGGGCTTGGTCCTCATTCTCAATTATAACGTCTATATTTGCAAAATCCATAATAATAGAATCAAATTTATCATGATGTAAAATTGTAGACGTACCTTCGGACATGTGAAGCATATATAAACTTTGCTTCAAGTGGAGTCGATTCACTATCGTCTTCTTTATATACAAAAGCTTCGAATTATCCCACAAGTCTTTGGTCGTCTCATTACAAGAAATTTGACCTTTTGTGACAATATTTTCAATGACAACGAAAAACTTGTCATAGTTGACCCAATTTAGTGATGACTTTTGAAGTCGTCACAGATGACCTCACATAGACTTATCATCAGTGACAACATGGGATTTGTCGTCACAACATGGGTGGTGCACAACCTGTTGGTGTGGCAGAAAATTACCTTTGTACGATCTAGAAAAATGTTGTCACTAAAACGGTCCATATAGTGACAACTTCCAACATCGTCACTATCACTCTACCGATTCAGAGGTAGTGACAACAATTAGTCGTCACTATCTAAAGTACTTGCTCCTAGATCACTTTCATTAATTCTACTATGTCACCCTAACTTTTATGATTTAGCCCCAAATATGATAAAAAAAATTCCATTAATTCTATTATGACACCTTAACTTTTGCAATTTAGCCCCATATGTAGTACAATAATTTCTTTAATTCTACTATTACACCCTAAATTTTGCAATTTATCCCCATATGTAATTTGCCAATTTCACTAAGTCAACAATCACACTTTGACTTTTGCAATGTATCCCCGTATGTAATACACGAATTTTATTAATTCTACTTTGGCACCCTATGGTGTTGCATTTTAGCCCCTTTTTTATTAGCAAAATACAGATACCTTAATAAACTATGTATACATGTTTTGATAAATCATGGTATGAGTGTCAATTTTAGGGATGTTGATGACTATAAGAGACTGTATGACAATTCCTAACACACTAGTACAAGAGCTTTAGGTTTTGGATTCTGCGACAACGATGACAATAAAAAAAAAAGACCATTGATTTTGATATAACGGACTATAACAGACTATTGATTTTGATATATTGATTTAGCACTACAAGGAATGGAAGAAAAAAAGACCACTGGGATCGGTTGGACTTTTGTGGAGGAGCAGCATGTTTGCTATTTGGCTCAATGGAGCTTTTTGAGGTTTTAGGAGAAAGTGGAGCAAGATTGTTATGTTCGTGAATTTTATTTATTGGGATTCGTCCAGACTTTTGTGAATTTTGACCTACTGAAATTTGTTGAGACTTTTATAATTTTGGCCCATTGGGACTTTTGTGAATTTGGCCCATTTGGGGCCTTCCAATTTTGACCAGGACAAGGCATCCATCTTTTGCTCCAATGAAAAATGTTGGCAGATTTTAATCAGTAAAGGATCTCCGTTTGAATGGTTAAACAGCCTGAAGAATTCTCATTCATGTGTCTTAATCAACAAGAAAAGTCTTCAATCATGCAAAATAACAACATAACTTTCAGCGCGTGAATGTTCTCTGCCGGGCCTTCTTTCTTTGTTCAATTTCATCGATTGGACGCCTAATTGATATGATAGTTGGCAACTTGAATTAAACTAATGAATATGGACGCATTTGATCCAACATTCGTACCGTTTTCTTGAACATGTTTATTTACTTTTCTATGTGATTAAACATTATCTATATAGGTATGACCAACACTCTCAGATTAAACCTAAACAACATTATTGCTAAAATTTATAGATAAACACTAGAATCTAATTAAATAAACTCACCGTTAAATATACATGAACTCATTGGCAACTGATAATATTCTGTTGTGTACCATGTTTTTAATGAAGATTTCTCGCCCCATCTTCCTTCGAAAACTTTGTATCATACATAGATGACATTTGTACTTGTCCTTTCGCTTTTCTTTTTTTTTGGTTTGACTTTACACACTCTTTACAATTTTAGGCAAGTGGGGCTGTATCTAACACAAAATATTGCACTTGAAAAGCGGTTACGTGACAAACTTTTTCTTTTTTTCCTTTCCTCTCTCTCTCTCTCTCTCTCTCTCTCTCTTAATAAATTTCTGTTCTCCCCAACTGCGGTCCTATAAAGTATATATAGTCCTCATCAGCTTTATACTTCAAACCACACCAACTTGTTCCATCTTGCTTCTCCTCCTTTGTTTCGCTTTTCCCCGTAACGAAACAATGGCAAAGAGTTTAGCCATAGCATCCCTCCAAATTCTCAGCCTACTTTTACTAGCAAGCTCGGGACAATCAAGGGCATTGTTCACAAATTTGACGGTGTACGTCCATGAATTTCGAAGTGGAGAAGGTCAGAGTATTTTCCCAGTTGCAGGTCTCTCCAACGTAACTTGGGGCTTTAACCAATTTGGAACTGTTTTTGTCGTTGATAATACCTTGACACAAAGCGTTTCAGTCAAATCCGCACTAGTTGGTTGTTTGCAGGGCATTGCTGCAGTAGCATCCCTTGATAACACCAACATAGAGCTTGCGGAAACGTTTCTGTTCACTGATGGAAAGTACAATGGCAGCACTCTGGAAATGAAAGGAATTCTTATACAGTCTATGCATGTCAATGAAGTTGCAATTGTGGGAGGAACCAAACAATTTCGGCATGCAACGGGGTATATTACCTTTGAGACTGTCCGCACAACAGAAGATTATATTACTGTAAGGTCGAACCTCCACATTAGACAGGACATATAGGATGACTACCCTGGTATCGCTCTTCATTAATAACTGATGCAAATAAACTTGACCCTGGGCCCTATAAGTCATCAGGTCAAGAATTTCTTCATGTATGTATTATTAAAATGTATGCTGTGAGCTGTATTCACTCTATCAATAAAACAGTATGATTAGCAATACTTTTGAATAATTTGGTGTAACTATTGCTAGATCTTTCCTCGTACAATCCAAGGCAAGAATGTGTTCTAAGTTTCTTTTTCTTTACTAATTAAAATCTGAATAGTCTAGCTCAAAAATTTTTTGAATAATCTACATACGATTATAGTTGTTCACCTAGTTATTCAATATAAAGGATCTTTTTTGCTCTTCTTTTCCAGGTAGACTTGAGACTTTTATTATGTTTACCATAAAAAATTTAATAATACTGCAAATTTGTGTCGAATGTTTGTATTCTCAATAATTTAGTGATTTAAATGAATTTTGTTAATATTAGAACCAAGTAGTAACAAACCACCTACGGCATTCAAGTTGAAAGTTTATAGAAGCAGAGAATATATTAATGAAATGAAAAGCACTACTGGACTTATTGTGATGCAGATAAATGGTACCCAAGAGTCAAGATTGATGCTAAAACTTGTCAAAAATGGATGCTGTAGTTACATCAAGATGTAACCCATGGATGCGAAGGAAAAAAAATTTGATTCAACGATCTTATTAATTTGCTTCCGACAGTGTCTTGCTTCCGTTAATTGAGATGTAAATAGTATGAATAATTCCAGAGAGCATGGTATGAGTTGTAAAATTATTTTCCCCTTGAGCAAAAAATAGATTCTTTCGCCAACAATTTCAATAACAATTTTTATCCCAGATCTTGAATAAATGAAATATATATATATATATATATATATATATATATATATATATATTTACCTTGCAAAATTCCAAGTGTTGAGTAGCATAATTATTGCTTAACTATTTTCCTATCAGACAACAAAAAACATTACCAGCATTAACTATTGTACATAGGTCTCGATCGTGAAGTTCAAAGCTCGGCCTTATCCTCAACAGGTTCTTGTGGCTCCATTTGAAAGGCAACGCATAGTTTGTTGGATAGAAGAATATTTTGAGTTTCTCATTCATTGATTTCTTTTTCCGTTAATTATCTTGGAATTTACAGGACTTATTTATATTTGTAAATACATCATTCTAGATTCATTGGAGTACATGAAAGTAGTCTAAACAAGTCACTTACCAACTAACTCATTAACTTGATTTGCCAACGAACTAATTAATTAAACACATTATTCAACACATTCCCCCCCCCCCAATGTGCTATTTTTGAACTCTAAGCTTTTCTCGAAATAGTTGAACTTGTTTTTTGGAAGTGCAATGGTAAAGATATCTGCAACTTGGTTTTGACTCTTACAAAATATCAGTTCAATTTCGCCATCTTCAATTGCATCATGAATGAAATGATGCATGATAGCAAAGTGGCGAGTTCTACTATCATAGATTGAATTTTTGGCAATGTCGATGGCTGATTTACTATTGTGAAATATAACTGTAGTTTTCTATTGCTTTCAGTACCAATGTATTCAAGAATTTTTCCAAACCAAATGACTTGTGATGTTGCCAATCTTGTGGACATATATTCAGCTACAATGAATTATTGTGCCATACATCATTGCTTCTTTGATACCTGATAAAATACTCTCGAATCAAGTGAAAAATAATAGTTTGAGGTGCTCTTCATATCATCAACACAACCCCTCCAATCACTATCACAATAACCACACAAATTTGTGGAAGCTCCTTTGCTAAATTTGATACCATAGTTGAGTGTCTCTTTGTTGTGTCTTAACATTCTCTTAGTTAATCCAAGATGTAATTGACTAGGATTGTACATAAACCTTGATAATAAGTTTGAAGCAAACATGATGTTCGACCTTGTAACTGTGAGGTAAAGCAAATTTCCCACCAAGCTTCTATACAAAGTGAAATCAGCTCTCTTTTCTCCATTTTCTTTAACAAGTTTTTCACTCACAACAAGTGGTGTAACCATAGGTTTGCAATCAGACATGCTGAGTTTCACAAGAATATTTTCAACATATTTCTTGACAAACAAACACTCCATTATCATATTGATAATTCTCCATGCCAAGAAAATGATATAGCAGTCCTACATCATTCATTTCATATCTTTTCATCATGCCTTTCTTAAGATCAGTCATCTTTTCATTGTTACTGGTGTAAAGAAAATCATCAATATATGAAGCAACAATGAGAATGTCTGAGTTACCTTGAGACTTCACATACAATGTTGACTCACTTTTGCTCTTCTTGAATCCTTACTCCATGAAGCAAAAATCAACTTAGCTATACCAAACCCTAGGAGCTTGTGTCAATTCGTACAATACTTTATTCAACTTATACACTTTGTTTTCTTCTCCTTCTTTGATAAAGTCTTGAGGTTGTTGAACATGGCACTTTTTCCTTCAATTCTCCATTCAAAAATGCAGATTTGATATCAATTTGATAGAGATTCCAACCTTTTTGGGCTACCATGTCAATAAAAGTTCTAGTTGTATCAAATTTTGCAATCAGTGCAAAAGTGTCATTGTAGTCAATTCCAAACTATAGCGAATAACCCTTTGCAACAAATCTTGCATTCTTCTTTTGGATTGAGCCATCCGAATTTAGTTTGGCTTTGTGGACCCACTTGACACCAACGATTTTCTTGTCTTGAGTTTGTTCAACTAACTTCCAAGTCCTGTTCTTTTCCATTGCATGAATCTTCTCTTCCATTGCCTTCCTCCAATCTTTTTCTCCATATGCTTCTTCAAAATTTCTGATTCAAGAATGCAAAAGTTACATATTACGTAAAACATCACTCAAACTCCTCATTTGATAAATAAATAAATAAATAGACAAAAGTAAACTGTGCATGGAAAATTACCATTTTCTACTAATTTAAGTAGCTATTGGTGCATGTGCTTACATAGGCATTAAGAGTGTCTATCTAGTCATGGTGGCTTCTTCTGGCTTTCACTGCCAAATAAAAAAATTAAAAACAAAGAATGTTAAAGAATATGCGGTATTGTCTGTTTATATCATCTATGATTCAAGTGATCTTGTTAAGAATCTAATGAATTATGGGAGTAAACCCAACTAATCAGACATATAATACCCTGTCAGAGGACATGTTCGTTGGTCTCACTTACTTAAATAAGTGTGAAGTTCTCAAGGGAAATATTTGATCAAATACATCATCCATGGCGCCTGAGAAAACGTCTCCAGCCACCCCATCTTCTTGATCCTTGACAGTTGATTATAAATGTTTATTTGGTAACTTTCTTTTATAGGGCATGTGGATCCATATCAAATATGACAACGCAATTGCAAAGAGGTTGTCTCGCCAAATTTTTTATTTTCAGAACGTTTGATTTTTTGAAAGTTTAAAGAAAAAGAATATTAATTTGCTCAACTCATCCGATTCCTGTCAATACATATGATGGCCGAGTTAGGATCTTTATTTAGGGGATGCAATAATTTTATGTTTGATAAGTGACTAATTTACGCTATATTTGAATAATATTTTATATTATTTTTAGTCACTTTGGCAATATTGTAGGAAGAAAATGGATCATTTTGGCTATAATTGGTGTAAAATACTCTTAAGTGATTAAATGAGATTTATGTCACTTCTTACTTGCATTTTGTCCATAATTTGCATAGGAGTTGGAAATATACTTCATTTGGATGAAAAAGGAAGTTGATAGTTTTGACACATTTTTGTATTTCGGTTATAACTTGAGTTACAATGATCGGATTGAGATGATTCTAAACCATTTTGAAGATAAGAGATAGATCTACAATTCATGTAAAGACATCGAAATCCAATTTGAAGGTTTTCCAGGTCAAAAAGCCGAATTACAGTAGCTAATTTTCTATGGTCGAAGCTAAGACAAGGCAGTGAGCAGTCAAGGGTATTTCTATCATTTCTCTGCCTACACAAATTCAAATGAGGTGATTCTCAATGCAGTGGAAAATTAACTCAAAGGGCTACAAGTTTCATGTTTTAGTCAAGAGTTAATTCAACTTCTATCATCAAGAAAAGTTCAGTTGAAGTTGAGGCAGAATTGGAGCAACATTGAAGACTGGACAGAAATTGCTAAGAATGGCAAGGGAGCAATCCTGCCAGATTCTGGCCAGATTTGTGGCCGGATTCTGGTCAGAAATGGCTACTCCCCACTTGAACAACTTGTTTCCTCCTCCAATAATTCACAGCTATTGATGGACGTGTGACACCAACTTTGCAGCTATAAAAGTGATGTTTGAAGTTTCATTTCTTGACTAAATCATCTATAAATAGCCATGGACTTGCAAAGACAAAGGAGCTTGGAGAGTACAAGAAATACCACAAAAATGTAGTTCTTACATTCTCTTAGTGTTAGGTTAGTATAGTATAAGACAGTTTAACTAGTAGTTCATCCTTCTTGTTTATTAGCTAGGCAAAGATGAAGATGGAGATGAAGAAGGCAAGGAAAGAACTCATGTGACAAGGGTTACTTTACCTTTCCAACTCTTTATCTTTTGTACTTGATTCTAAATTTAGTTAATATACAAGTTTTAGATTTTATGTTTATTATGTGTCTCTAAAGTTTATGCTTTGGGTTTGGTTGAATTTTCTATGATTGTTTGTGTTTATTATTTGGCTATTTGATATTATTATTTTGAGCAAGTTATTTAGCACTTTAACTCTTTAAATCATGATTAACTTGGTACCATTAATTGTGATTATCTAAAGGTGTTGTTTCTTCAATGAAAATTGAGATTTAACACTAGTTCAAGAAATGTTAAACCTAAGGAGTACACTCACGAGAGTAGAGGTGCACCTATGTGGTTTTAATGATTCATTTCATATAATTTCATAGAAAAAATGAACTTATAACTAATTTCATAATCACGAGAGTAGGTATGGATTAGCTATAAGTATAGTTGATTCACTGCGAAAGTAGGTTTCACATACATAAGGAAATTATGCCTGTGTATGACAACTATAACCAATCGTGTAATGGTATACTGAAAAAGAATAGTAACAAGTGCGATATTTTCGGCTAGGGCTTTCTTTTCTGCCGAGCACTACTTGCCGTCGGCATTCATGGCAGCCCTTCAGCCTTCGGCTGAGGGGCAAGGACCTTCCCCTATTGCAAGGAAGTCCTTCTCACAGTTGTTCTCCCAGCCTTAGGCGTCGCCGATACGGGTGCGGCCTGTTACAACATACAAGGGTGAGGCTGCCGTTATATTTTCAAAGGAGGATGCAGACAGGTTGGCCGCTCCTTTCCGCTGGACATTGGTGGGGAAATTTTCGCATGGGCGTCCAACATTGGAGGACATCCGAAAGTTCCTTGCTTCACTGAACTTGCGTGACCATGTTACGGTTGGTTTGATGGACTATCGCCATGTACTAATCAGGTGCAAGGCTGAGTCTGATTTCACTAGGCTATGGACACGAAGGATTTGGCACTTGGGAAGATATCCGATGCGTGTATTTCGCTGGACAAGGGACTTCCATGTCCATAAGGAATCACCTCTGGTTCCCGTTTGGGTGAACTTGCCAGCTTTGCCGATACATTTTTTTGACAAACACTCGCTATTTTTCATCCTTTCTCCAGTGGGTCAGCCATTGTTTTTGGATGCCGCAACGTCGGCAGGCACACGCCCAAGCGTGGCCAGGGTTTGTGTGGAATTGGATTTGTTGAAACCCATCTGCTCGCGGGTATGGGTGGCAGTGGAGGGTGAGTCTGGATTTTGGCAGCAGATCGTTATAGAGGACTTGCCTTCATATTGTACAAAATGCTGGCGGTTGGGACATGCGGTTGGAGATTGCAAAAGGAATGATGAGGAGTTTGCTGCCCGTCGGGTGCGACATACGGTCGCTTCTCGTGCGCCTCAAGCTGTCGCTGATGCTAAGGCGCAGGTGGAGACCTCTGCTATGGAGACCCATGCGGCTCCAGCGAAGGGGGCTATGGTAGTTGCCACGGAGGGGGAAGGACTGGGCCAAGGGCCTACGCGCGAGCTTGAGCGAGCAGTGGAGGAATTGCAGCAGCTTGAGGCGGCGGAGTGCGGGACACAATCTGCTGGAGTTGGGCAGTCTGCTGGGCCCGAGGTCATGATGCGTGGGGAGACAAGTGCTGCAGATGGGAGCCTGACCATGGGGAAGGATGAGGAGTCAGTTGAGCATAATAGGCAGCAGCGTGGGATGCAAAATGAGAGCTTTATCATGGAGCTCGACAAGGAGCTAGATCAGGCCGAGGGGCAGCAGCCGTTGCTGCCTGAACAGCTGGGAAGTGTTGATGAGCAGCCTTTTCGACCAGTGGATACCGGCCTGGACAGGGAGGATGGATATTCTTCGCAGTTGGTTAGGGAGGCAGGTGCAGAGGAGGGGGAGATTGCAGAGATATATGTTGAGTTGCCTCCCATGGCGGGCAATTTGTCTCCGAGGATGACTGTGAGACAGGAAGGTGTAGCGGAGGCGTCGGTCCAGGCTTTAAATATAGATACAGTCACTAAGGGTGTGGAGGGTTTTAAGCCAGGGCGAGGAAAAGGTGTCCGTGCATTCATCCCTTCCGATAGACAGCTCCGGTCCGCAACATCATCCTATAACTCCTTCCAGGTTTTGTCTTATGATTAATACACTTTTCTGGAATATTCAAGGGGTTTCCAAATCCCCAAATCTAAGAAGATTAGTAAATTTAATACGGACGTTTGGTGTTAAGTTTGCTGTTATTTGCGAGGCCAAAACCGATGTGTCTAAAATTGATTTCATTCGTATGCGTCTAGCATTTGACTCGGTTATTACAAATTTGTCGGACGACATTTGGGTTTGTTATTGCGCTCCTTTCAGTTGCTCAATTGTAGGTAACTCAAGCCAGCACATCTCCCTTTCTATTCAACATCCCTTGCTCCCTGATCCTATTATTTTTTCATTTTTTCATGCCAAATGCTCCTTGGAGGAGCGAAGCGACCTATGGCAAAATCTTCTTGCGGACAAGCCTAGCTCCCTTCCATGGTGTATTGGAGGGGATTTTAATGTCATTATGGCACCCCATGAAAAATGCGGGGGCCGGCCGTTTGGTGTTCGGGAGGGGGTAGAACTTATGTCTTTCATGGAGGCGGCTGGTGTTTTTGACGTGGGTTTCTCAGGATCCAATTTTACGTGGTGCAACAATAGGAGAGGCAGAGCTAAAATTTCGAAGCGATTGGATAGAGTGCTAATCAATGGGGAGTGTGCTGAGGTCTCTTCCAGCATCTCTGTTGAGCATTTAGCAAGACATCCGTCAGATCATGCACCGCTACGGATTTCTTTTGCTACTCGTTTAGACAGCAAACCGAGGCCATTTCGGTTCTTGAATGTTTGGTTGTCTAGGGCAGACTTGTTGGAAGTCATTCGAGGAGCCTGGGATAGACCAGTGCAGGGAGCCCCTTTGCGTGTGTTGTGCCAGAAATTAATGGCGTCAAGACGGGCTATCCAAGACTGGAACAAACTCACTTTTGGCAATATCTTTGAGAAGGTTCGGGTGGCAGAGGCTGCGGTTTGCAGGACTGAAATAGAGGTGGAGGGCAATGCCTCTGAGATGGCGCAAAATGTTCTTCATCAGGCTCAGGCGGACTTAAGCCTAGCACTAGTCATCGAGGAGCAATTTTGGAGTCAAAAGGCCCGAGTGAAGTGGCTCCATAGTGGGGATAGGAACTCCAAGTTTTTTCATGCGGTGGTGAAACAAAGACGGATTCAGAGCGCCATCCATCGGATTAAAGATTCGCGGGGCGCCTGGGTGAATAGGGATGAGGACATAGCAAACGAGACAATTGCGTTCTTCTCGGGCCTATTTTCTGAACCTACTGTTTTTGCATCGGATATGCTACACTTGATTCCTCCCTTGATCACGGAGGAGGAGAATAAGGCTTTGGAGGAAGTCCCATCCATGGCAGAGGTTAGACGAGTGGTTTTTGCAATGGATGGGGAGAGTGCTGCGGGACCGGACGGATTCACGGGTAAGTTCTTCACGTTCGCTTGGGATGTCATTGCTCAAGATATTTATAATGTGGTGCTGAGTTTCTTCTGTGGGGCTGAGTTGCCTAAGTTTATTACCTCCACTTCCATTGTGCTTATCCCTAAAGTGGCAAATCCCCAGGATTTTTCGATGTTTAGGCCGATTAGTCTTTGTAACTTTTTTAATAAGGTGCTATCTAGACTTTTGGCTGACAGGCTGTCTGCCATTTTACCGAAGATTATCTCCCCCCAGCAGTCAGGTTTTGTTAAGGGTAGGAATATCACGGAGAATTACTTGCTGGCCCAGGAGGTGCTGTCGGGTATTGGCAAGGCCTCGAGAGGGGGTAATGTTGCGTTAAAATTAGACATATCTAAGGCATACGATAGGGTGTCATGGACTCATATTGTGAGCGTATTACGGCGGTTTGGTTTTGGAGAGCAATTCATAGACAGGGTTTGGAGGTTGCTATCTAATGTGTGGTTCTCAGTCATTGTCAATGGGGTCTCGCATGGATTTTTTAAATCGGCTAGGGGACTTCGGCAGGGGGACCCTCTATCCCGGCATTATTTGTCATAGGAGCTGAGGTGCTCTCACGGGGTCTGAATAGTCTTGCGCATCAATCCGGATTTGTGGGGTTTCGGGTTCCACACGGGTGCCCTCCTATCACTCACTTGGCCTTTGCTGATGATGTAATCGTCTTTGTAAACGGTTCGTCAAGGTCTCTGAAGCGTGTTATGCGGGTGTTGTAGTTGTACCATCAATCCTCGGGACAACTGGTTAATGCTCAAAAGAGTGGGTATTTGGTGCATCCGTCGTTGCCTCCGTCTCGACGCAGAGTGATTGAGCGGATCACGCAGTTTGCCAGGAATTCATTTCCAATTCGTTACTTGGGATTTCCCCTATACTTAGGTCGGTGTAGATCGTCGTATTTTGGGGCAGTCAGCCAAGCTATCATAGGAAGGGTGTTGTCGTGGAAGTCGAGGCTTCTCTCTCCAGGTGGAAAGTTGATACTTATCAAACATGTCCTTGCGTCTGTTCCTGTTCACTTGCTTTCGGCAGCAGTGGTACCTAGCTCGGTCTTCTCGATGATAGAAAAGGTTTGTGCAAATTTTCTATGGGGCTCAATGGCGGAAAAATCAAAGTTCCACTGGATACGATGGTCTCAGCTATGCTACCCCGTGGAGGAGGGTGGGGTAGGTTTTCGAAGACTTCGGGATGTCTACAGAGCCTTTTCATGTAAGTTGTGGTGGGGGTTTCGGACTGGAGCTTCACTTTGGGCGTCTTATATGCAAGCTAAGTACTGTAGGGAGCAGCATCCTTGTCAAGTGCCTCTCAGAGTATCTGTTACGGCTACTTGGAGACGAATGTGGTATGTTAGTCAGCAGGTGGAGCTATCAATGTTATGGCATATTAATGGGGACGCCTGTCACTTTTGGTACGACAATTGGGTAGGCAGTGGTGCTTTATCTCTCAGCTCGACAGTCATCCCCGATCTCTCCTTTGGGGACTTTATCACAAATGGAACATGGGATGCCCAGTTGCTATCGCGGGCCTTACCACCAGGGATCATTCCCTTAATCTTACAACATCCCATACCTGACGGTGGTCGCGCAGCTGAGCCTGTGTGGATGCCATCAACATCTGGGAAATTCACGCTAGCGTCGGCTTTTGGGGAGGTTCGTCAAGCCTGCAACACTTCTGCGGTTCTATCACACGTCTGGCATCATCGGATACCGTTGAAGGTATCTTTCTTCATGTTACGCTTATTGAGGGGAAGGTTGCCAGTAGCGGATGCCCTCTGCCAGCTAGGTTTTCAAATGCCGTTGAAGTGTCTTTGTTGTCGGAGCCCATCTTGCAATCTATTGAGCATGTGTTTGCAACGGGACAGATTGCCATGGAAATCTGGGGATATTTTGGGGGTGTGTGTGGCGTGGCTAGTACAGGATCCTTACTGCGAGCTCGGATGGCGGCATGGTGGTTTGTGGAGCAGCGATCGGAAAGGAGGCACTTCTTGTTCAAAATTCTTCCTAGTCTCATCTGCTAGCATATCTGGAAGGCTAGGAATAAAGCCATTTTTGAAGATAAACCCTTGCAGTCGGCAGATATTGTTCGGGCCATATTCAAAGAGGTGAAGATGCTGGTGGAGATTCAGTTTAAGGGCAATGTTGGGGTTAATACGTTTCTTCAGTTGTATGAATGGTCCTCTCACCCAGCGCGCACGTTTGGCTTCCAATTGATACGTTGGGCAGTTCCAGAGGTCGGGAGGCTAATGCTGAATACGGACGGGTGCTCAAAAGGTAACCCGGGTCTGGGCGGTGATGGTGGTGTCCTACGGGATTCGTCAGGAAGCCCTCTATTTGCTTTCTCAGCCTTTCTGGGGGTTACCTCTAGTTTACGGGCGGAGACTATGGCCCTGTTGATTGGGCTTCGCGAGTGTGGTCAGAAGGGGTTTGGTAATGTGGGCATCCAGCTAGACTCCTTGGTCTTGGTGGGGATTCTGCGGAAGCAGTTTCAGTGTCCTTGGCATGTCCGGCGGGAGGTGGGGCAGATTTGGCAGTTGCTGGGTGAATCCCCGCGGATAATTCATTGTTACAGGGAGGCGAACAATGTTGCTGATATTCTATCTAATGTGGGAGTAGCTCACCCTGAGCATAAGGTTAGGGTTTATGACCACATCCGACTGATTCCATAGATGGCTCGTGGTGCAATCCGGCTAGATAAACTAGGAGTGCCTTCAATTAGGAAGTTCAGGATGTGATAGGGTTTGGGTTTGGGTTTGCGTAATTTCTGCTACTATTGTAAATTTTGGTTCGAATCAATAATATTGCTACATTTAAATAAAAAAAAGGAAATTATGCCATAACTAGCCAAGATAGTAGTACTCAATGATCCAAAAGTAGCACTTGCATGAGTAGTTAGGGATACCATAGCCTAAGGAGCTTTTATTTACTATTTTCTTGCATAAGTTTAGCATAGTTTTATCTCTTTTAATTCATTGATCGTCTAAATAATAGAGAAGCTTTAGTAGTGTCGGTAATTGTCCAATCTTCCTCGTGGAATCGACTCGATATATGCCCTAAACTATTAATTTGACCTGTATACTTGCAGTCAAAATGGGTATATTTCAGAATTAAACTTGTACTTATATAAAAGTTCTGTCAAGTTTTTGGCGCCGTTGCCGGAGAAGATTTGTGGCAATATCGGCGTGAAGAGCAACTTTATTAGATTGGACATTTTATTAGTTTTCTAGTGTGTTAATTAAGTATAGTTTGTTGTGTGTTTATTGAGTTAGTCTTAAATGTTATTTTCTTTTATTTTAGTGTTTATTGTGTGTATGTGTTTTACAACCTATTCTTCTTACTAATCTTGCTCTTAAGTTGTTTAAAAGCAATTTTAGGTAATGAGGAGGGTAGGTTAATATAGAGGACAACGCATGAGAAGTGGAAGATCAGCAATGGATGGTTACTACGTGCAAAGCTTCTTGAATAGAGGTAACCAAGAAATTACTGAAGGTATGTCATTTGAAGATGGTTTAAGGTGCTTAAAGGCTAAACTTGATGTTATAACGTTACAAATTCAAATGGATGCCATTATGCATGAAATTGAGCAAAAGAGAAATGTTAATGTTTTTAATTCTAATCATGTGATTTATGACTTGTGTGGAGGTTATCATGCTACTTATACATGTATGCAAGTACAAAATGTGGATTATTATGATGAATTGGGGCATTATAATTCTTGTTTTGATCAATATGGTCCTAATATGGGCAATTCTTCTACTTTTGGTTGGGATAATCAATGTACTTATAGTGATTCTCCATGTTTTTATGATTATCCACCCGAATGTGTCCATTATGAATCAAAACCATCTTGGAAATTGGCAATAGAAATGTTAGTTAATGCACTTTCACCTTTGGAATTAGAAAGTGAACCAGTAACTAACGATTCTAAGCCATCATGGGAGTTAGCTATAGAAAAGCTAACAAATGCGACCTCCAACCGTTTTGATAGGGTTGAGGAAGGGTTAGATGAATTAGCTTCTCACTTTGGTAGAATACAAGACCAATTATATGCATTGTGTGAAGTTATTTCCTCTAATGATATGCAAAATGACCCTATTATGAATGGTGGGAATGTTGTATGTGACAATGGATTAAATTTTGATCAAAATAATGAATCTAATTTGAGTTTCAATGAAAAAATGTTCATTTCACATGATAATACCTTTGGAACTAACATTGAACCTCAAGGGGTGAGCCTTAACGACTCATTTGTCACCCTCTCTTGAGGAATGTGTTGATAGTATAGGTTCTAAAGGTATTATAACCCAAGAAAGCCATGTAGATGTTCCTTTGGTGAGTTCTTAAGTGATACACATTCAAGGTAATATCTATGAATCACTTGAAATAGGTAAGTCACTTCCACATCTCACATCATTAGAACATGTAGCTTTTGCTATTAAGCCACGTTTTAATTATCCACCATAACAAAAAATAGTGGATTATTCATTAACTAAACCTCCTTGATAATGAGGTTATATAGTCAAGCTAATGACTATAAAGAAGCGCTTGTTGGGGGGCAACCCAATGATTTCTTGTTTTAAGTAGGTTTTAGTTGTTTAACTAGTGTTTTTGTGTATTTTATAGGTGGTAATGGCAAGGGTTCATGCAAATTGTTTCAAGTGCAAAAGAGTGTAGAAGGAAGCAAAAAGGGAGTTTTCATGTTCATTTGATGCATTTGATGCATTTAAAGTGATTTATGCTAAAATTATATTGATGCATGATTTCATGTTTCTAAGTGCATTTGGTTGAGAAAAGCACCTTTTTATGGTTTAAAGTGAATTTTTTTCTTAAAGAACATGAAAACAGTCGAAAATCGAGTGAGTGTGGAAACTTGATCACGCAGGGAACTGGAGAAATCAGAGATTTCTGCATGAAATCCAGCCAATTTTAGGGAGGATTCACGGCCGGATTGACAGGGGACTTAAAAAAAAAATTTCTAGCTCTCTGGCCAAAATCCGGCCAAAAACCCGGCTAAATATCCGGCCAAAATCGCGCACAAGAGGGGAATCCGCGAACGGATTCCCCATTTCCTTCTTCCTTTCTTCTTCAACTTTCACACACACTCATACCCCAAAACACACACTACTCACCAAAATCCCTCTTTTCAACATCAAATTTTCAAACTAACTTCACCAAAACACTTGCCCTTACCTCTAGAGATGATTTCATAGATTAAACTTCTTCAAAAACAAGATTTAATTCGGATTTGAGCTTGGCAAGAACAAAGGTTTCAAATTTTTGAATTCTCCATTTCAGGGCCGAATTAGAGTGAGATTTTAGGGGGTTTCTTCACCATTTGCATCCATAATCATCAAACAACAAGTTGAGGTAACAAATCTTCACCAAATGTTGTCATTTAAATTTTGCCATTTTTCACTTTTTTCTCATTTTTTGGGCAATTTTGAATTTCTTTATTTTAAGATGTTTGGTGCTTTACATTGTGCTTATTAAGGTTATTGATGATTATTGGTGATATTTAACTCAACGGTTTGTGATTATTTGGTGAATTTAGCAATTTTTAGCTAATTTTGAGGATTAATGTGACTTGATAATTATTAGCTAAATTCTTGAGCTAATTGGATTGAAGGAAAATTAATGAGATTAATGAATTGCTCTAAGATATTTGCATGCTAAATTTAGGCTTAATTTGCTTATCTCTTGATTTTTGGCATTTTTATTCTATAATCTTTGGTGAAAAGTGAATTAATGACCTTTTAAAACCTTAAACTCATGGTTAAGGTGTTATTTAGCATTTAATTATGCTTATTTAAGTCATTAAGATGGGAGTGAGTTGTGTGTTTGTGTGTTTGCTTAATTGCTTCCTCTAATTATATGGGCATTATATGTTCAAATGTTTTATTTGGGGAAAATATAAGAGCACTTGTCTTTGATAATCAATTTTAATACTTACTTATGATGTTGATTGCTACTTATCATGTAAGTAAGTTAATGAGTTTGTCTCTTTAAAGATAAAGGTTAATGCGACCAAGTGTTCGTTATCCTTTATTTAGCAATGTACCAATTAGTTGAAGTTAATGCTTAAAAATTTTATTTAGGTGCAATGGCTTACACTAAGAAAGTCGGAGTGAAATCTCCACCTCCCAAGAGGAAAGGAGAAGCCTCTACGTCTACTTCTAGACCACCGTGTATGAAGAGAAAAGCAAGTAGACGACTTGTGCTTGAAGTTGAACCATCATCTGAAGAGAAGACTCAACAACACGAAGAGCAACAAGAGGAACAAGAGGAGCAAGTTCCTTATGATAGGTCGCGCTTCACCCCCGCCGAAAATGAAGCTTGGGATAATTCGAGGAGGAGAGCTAAGGTATTGGTGGAGAAAAATGTCACTCCGAATATTGAGGAGGTCTACCATCTCAAGGCCTCCTTTGCCAAATTGGGATGGGAGAATTTCTTCAACATCCCAAATATTTATTATGAGGAGCTTGTCTGAGTATTTTACGCCAATGTGGAGGGCAAGCATGCTTTTCACTTCGACACGGAAGTGATTACAAGCACAATGCGAGGAACCAGAGTTCGAATCCATAGAACTCATTTGGAAAGCTATCTTCAAGTTTCTGACGTTGGGTATAAGGTGAATTTGAAGAAAGCATTCAAACCGCGCGATTTGGACTCTTGGAATATGCTAGAGGCACTTGTACGTTTGGAAGTTGAGTACAAGTCTATTCGAAAGACTGGGCAATATTCTGTGTTGACTTCTTCCTTTTCGGAGTTGCACCATCTTCTTATCTACTTGTTACCTCCAATATCATTCCGAGAGCAAGTGGAACTAATAAGGCGTGTACATGTGACATCTATTTCTTGGATAAAATGGAGCATGGCTTAGGCAACATCAAAGGCATTCCATTGGGAAGCATTATCACCAACCACATGTGGCCTGTGGTTTGAAATAATGACGTCAAACATGCTTTCCCATATGCTCGGTTCTTGACCTTAGTGTTTCAAAAGGCTGGAGTTAATTTCTCTAATGCTATCCCTACATGCCTCAAGAAGAAGGACATTTTCACATTGGATTTTTGCAGGTTTCTTTTGAAGAGTAAAGATGTGGGTAGTCCTTCAACTCAAGGAGATGCTCAAGGTGACATTCGGCAAGAGGAAGAAGTTGAAATTACACGTATTGAGGAAACTCAAGGGGTCGAGACAACTGTCCCACCGGTCTCAACTGATCCGTCCTTCTCACGTCGCACATCTTCACCTCAAGACACTCGATCATTTCTCAAGAAGATAATGGATAAGTTGTTTTGCATAGAGGCCGAAGTGAAGAAGAGTAGACAAGAGGACAAACGAAATTCCGAGCGTCTTCGTCGCATTGAGGCCAAACTTAGCATTGAATCTCCTCCGACTCCATCCTCTTCACCTGATCAAGCGGCTACTTGAGAGAGTGCTAGTCACCACTTGACATTGCTGCTATTTTTCTTTTGTTTTCCTTAGTGCTTTTGATGTTTATCTTTTAGTGGTTTTTCTTACTTCTTTTGTATGAACTCATCCAAGTGATCTTCATTTATATTATGATTTTAGTGTTTCAAGACTTCTTAAGGTTGGAAATTCAGCACTTGGCCATGGATTTGGATAACACAAGTTCATATCGGGAGTATTTTCTCTTACTCTTTATTTA